TTTACCTTTTTCTTTTCGTTTTTTTTTTCCGTTGTGTGGGCGGAGGGAGTTTACTCCCCCCCCCCCCCCCCCCCCCCAAACTAAGTGTAAAAAGTCCTGAAATATTTCCAGTCCTATGTTTTGATTCTCAAGCGTTGTTTTAACTATACTAATTTGGTTATAACTGTTTTTTTCTTCCAGGAATAACTGACCTTTATAATGCTGCACTCTTGTCTTACTGATTGTAGTTGGATAACTGTTCATTATAATAGAAGGTAAATAAATCACATGTTAACTCTATTAGTTCTCAGTTCTTATCCAAAAAAGCTGCTTACTGTTGCCAACTTTGTGTGTATATTAATGTAACTTATTTGTTATCTTGGTTAGTAATAAATATTTGATTTCGACCTCAACAGTGATTCAGTTTTTTTTTGTTTTCTTTGCAATAAATGAGATTTTAGCCTTTTTAGGAAGCAGATGCCCGTGCCTCAATTTATTCATGAATTTATCTAGTGAAGGAAAATGATGGAATCTAACCCAGTTCAGTTGGGTCAGTGGATATCACCAGACCACTCACTGAAATCACTGGTGAATCTTGTTGGACACAAAAAAGCAGCTGCTGGAATACTGGATTAAACAGTTTATAAAAAGAATGTCTTTTGTTGATGAGAATTGGCGACTGGAAACATTGCCTGGATTAAAAATACAATCAGGTTATTAACTTTGATGCAATTCTTTAGTAATTACCTGTAAAACTACGTTATGGTGTTGATCAATCTGTGAGTGTGGAAATAACTGAGAGGGTTTCTGTTGTAACATTCTATGGTTGTAACACTTATGAGTCAAGTACCACCTGCTGGCAGCAGGAAAAAAGGCTGCTTTTATACTGAGTAATGTAGAAATGAATATAATTCTGTTTTAATGCGCGCCTTGGTTTACATATGTTATTTATCATTATACAATTTAAAGTCAGCGACTGATATAATAGTTTTAAATGGTGTTTTAATTGCGCTTCTGTACTGCAACGTCAAGTTCCCTGAGAGGGAAAACGACAGCATGCTCAAAAGTGATTGCTCGGTATTTGTTGCCCAAACATTTTTTCTACATTAAATGACACTGTGTGTATGTGTGTGTGTGTGTGTTTTTGTTTGTGAGAGAGAGAGAAATCGGTGTAGTGGACAATTTGAATATAATATAAAGTGTTCTGATGCTTTTTAGGTGATGCTTTTGTATCGTCCCATGGAGGGATTCTTTCTGTAAAATCCATTTAAATTTGCCCTCTGTGTGTCTGGTTGAGTAGATGCCACTAGATGGCAGCATAATCTTTCCAAATGCATTTATTTTGATGCCAACCATGTGTTATTTTCTCATCAATGATCCTCTGGTTAAAAAAATCTCCGCAGATTGTGGGTTGTTTGTGATGTGATTGCAAGCAAAAATGTAATTGCAGGTTTAAGTCTCTGAAATAAATGCAGCTTATATAAAACCAAAGCAGGGAGATGTAAATAGCAAAGATCTTTTACATTTCCTCGTGCATTTTACATCCTACATCACATCCACACGGAGGCTGTAGTAATAATGCTGGCACCCCAAAAATGCCACAGCTGATACTGTATGAGGAATGATGTTTCATAGCCGTGGCAGATTTTAATAATGGAGCGTAAAGATTGATGCACGCCTGAGAAATTAGAGGCAATTCTTTCTTCCATGTTTTCTTCCTCGTAGTATAGATAATGACTTCTCCTGCAATGTACAGCCTGATAGGAAAAGGACACTTTACCTGTAACAACAATGACTAACAATGACTTTCATATGATAATTAATGAATACACGTTTGAATGGGGTTGTGGGTAGTGAGGATGAGACTTGTTGTGGTTGTTTTGCATGTCTTTGTTGTTTTGATTGACTTTCCAACAAGAAACCTCCTACAGAGTCTGTGGTCCAGGGTCCACCCAGGTTGGTCGTTTTTCATCTCTTTGTAATTGATTGCCGTCTCTTGTTGTTGTTTTGCATCCATTTTTGCTCATGTTGTTGTAGACATTTCGTTTGTCTGCGGTCGTTTTGTATCTTTGTAGTTGTTCTCTGTCTCTTTGAGGTCGATTTTAATCTTGTAGATATTTTGTGTCTCTTTGTGGTTGTTTACCAGTTTCTAAGGAGGGGGCCCATGCCACTTTTCTCTGGCCCTCCTTCTTGCCCCTGCTACATGCATGTTTCATCAAGTGATATTCTCAGTGCAGCTCAGAACTGCAAAAAAATATGAAAAAAAAAATTGCCAGGCTTGTGAGTTTTCTATTTATTCTTGTATTTGTATGGGCTATGGGGGAGCCGTAATCTGTGCCCTCCTGGTGTCTGGGCAGAGACAAACATGCTGGTTGTTAGGCTACTGAGAAACCCCACCGGCTCTCATTAGTGAGGACGAGAAAGACAGAAGGTGGGAGAGAAGGAAAAAAAGAAAAGTGTGAATGAGAGATAGAGACAGAGAAGCAGAAGGAGAGATGGATGGATCACAGCCTTACCCCTCAGTCTTGTTTGTTTGTAAGGAAAGGTGCAACCCATTTTTCCTCCCTCTCCTCTTCTCAGTCTTGTCATCCTCTTGTTATCTCAGCACAAAATGCTGAGGATTAGTCCAGGCCACAGGGGCTGAGCCAAATGCGGCTGAACCACAGGCACAGCAGACAATCACTTAATAAATGTTTAATTAAACCGCTGCAGTGTTGTGTCTGAATGTAGATGACTCACACGTTTGGTAGAAAATGGAAATGCTTTTAAAACGTCTCCACAGGAGATTCATGTTCAACTTTTCACCCAGGCTGTGGTTATTATCAGGGACTGACATGTACTTATTTTCCCTCAACAGCTCTGGCAAGGTCTGATTTTTATAGCTCAACACTTTGGCACGGACAGAAGCCTTTTGTTTGGGGAAAAAGTTGTTTCAACTGAATTAATCATTTACCTCATGTCACTGTGGCCTTTTTCACCCATCAAGTTACAACAGTTTCCTCTGACAGAGCAACAACTGCTGACTGGTAGTGGAGTAAAAAGTAGAAATGGAATTACAAGTACCTTAAAAATTGTACTTGGTGTACTATATATAATTTGTTATGATTGCATTGCTGCATCAATACAATAATTAGTTAGAGGGATATACTATTTGTCATGCACATACAAGTGCCCATCCTAATCACGCTCCTTCATTTCCTATCAACACATTGTTATAACCACTAGGGGGCAGTAAAGCACAAATGCTGCACAGACATACTGCACAGTGATGGTGACATTTATCAGGTTTGTTTTAGTAGACAGATAGAGATACTGTTAAAATACACAGTAAAATGACCTCAAAGCTACTTGAGGGCAAAATAAATAAAAAATATGATTATAGATGACGCTTATGTTTTAAGATGAACCATTACACACATTATCAGAATGAGACAGCATGCAAAAATAACACGTGGTAATTAGATTTGAATATATGCTTCCTTTCAGTGGCAGGAGAGTCAAATCAGTCATATTGAGTCAAGATGATTCATCCTGGTAAGCCGTCTGGGGAGCAGGGAAGGAACATGGGACAGCAGCTTATCCGCTGTTTCTGTAGCCGGAGGCAATCTGATGTACGAGAACATCCTCTGTACAGAGTTGTAGTCTGAAATGCTCCACTTGTGTGAAAGTGCAGCTTGAGTTTCACTTTATCCAAGTCACAGCGAGACTATATACCTGTTCTAGAAAGTGACTATTGGATTACCACTCAATTTTAAACGGTTCATTAAAAGCTAATCAAGAGGTTATTTACAGGAGCGTGAAAATGAAAACTGTGAAAGTCAAATAATCATTCGGATTACTTTTTTATCTTTTAATTTCTTTTTTTCCACGAGGCAGCAGAACAAAGAGGACTGAATGTTGTAGACGTTTTTAGACAGCAGAGATTACAGCTGAAACATGTCTCTGAAAGAGAGCGTTTTATGAACAAAAGTTACAATGATGTAACTATCCGTGCTCCCATGCTGGTAAATTTCCATGGTTGTAGTTTTTTTTCTGTACTCAGAGTACTCACAGTGTAATCTTTTTTTCTTTTTTGGTTCTAATAACGAGTGCTGTAGTGGATGCCGATTTGTTTGTCGAACACTTAAAAACTGCTCTATAGTGCCACTAGAGGTCAAAAACTCCACAGGATTCCACATCTGTTATACAAAAAGCAGTTCTGCTTATTCTTAGAGGGTCCAAGGGGCTGGATTGTGCGAGAGACGGGGCACTGGTCAGGACTGAGGAGGGCAAAGCTTGTCATGTTTATTATGTAATCATTGAGCATATATCATAGTTCAACATCTAAGACAGTGAAACATGCAGTAATGTACAAACACCATTATTCCTATTTTGACAGTTCTTATCCTCTTCTCTAACATACTGAAGCACGTTGGTTATTTGGCATAAAGGTTTACATCCACTAATGAGATTATTTGTTTGAGTAAAAGATGTAAAACTCCAATCTACAGATTTCCTGTTCCCTCCCTCTCTTTCCATATTTTGTCTTCAACTCCAGACCATCTCTCCTCCGTACTGACAGACTGTGAAGAACGACTTGTCTCCATCAGCTGGGAGGCTCCACCGGTGTCTTTGTGCATGCGTCTGTCAGCACAGGAGGAGGGTTTCAGCCATCATCACTCAGGCGTCGTCTTACTGGGCTCACTGGACTAAAGCCTGGGAACCAGACCAATGGTGACCGCTCTCATCAAGCAAATGGATCCAGGTACTCTGAAACTGAAATCAGAGCCCTGCTTCTCAGCTTGTTGTCCAGTATTTTTAGATATTAACTTGGAGAGAAAAAGTACTGAAATGTCCCCACTGTGCACATGTTTAGGTTTATTCTTCACTGATGAGGGGGGGGGAAATCCTTTCAATGATGTCAAAATGACTTTTTGAAAATGTGTTAAACAGCTTTGTGAATGTGACACCCAGAAAACAAAATCAATCCTTTTAAATCTTGGAAAAACATTTTTATTTTAATTTGTGTGGTTTGTTAGTGACACTCATAAAGTCGCAGATCGGCTTATTGCCTTAAAACTAGCTTTAAAGTTTATAAAACTATCACATTTGTATAAAGTTTTTTGTTTTTATTGTATAGTAACTGCAAAAACGGTACACTAAGAAAATTAGTATATCGTATATATGTTATAATGGGATGTCACAATATCAGATTGTCAATCGATTAAAAAAATAAAATTCATCCCTAAGTTTTTTTTATTGTGCGTTTTGTCTCTTTTTTTTGCAAATGTGTGTATATATATATATATATATATATATATATACACACATAACATAATTTTAGTGGTGCTGGATTATTAACATGATTTAATTACCACAGTTATCATCATTAATAGTATATTTTGACACCCGTAATTGTATACAGTTAGTATCTCGTATGAAACTGGGACACATCATTGTTTCCATTTGGAAGTTGAAAGTAAACCCCACAATGTGCACGGTTGCTGCTAAATGGAGAGTAAAGAAGAAGAGCCTTATCTCGAATGCGTTGTGTTACGTTCCCCAGCTTTTCTGAGGCTGATAGCTCTTTATCACATCCAAAAAGATGACGATTGTATTATCCACAGCCTCTTAATCACCCAGAGGTAATTTCAGATGCATGTTTTGCAGATGACCTTGACTTCCTCTCTCTGAGCGGGATGCGCTCGCTGAGTATTTAATCTGTGATGTGGCACTCTCAGAGTTTGAGGATTACTTTTCTCGTGCTCCGTTTGAAAAGCTTTAACAGAGAAGAGTGAGAGTGAGATTTGGTGATAACCCCCGATAGAGCTATTGATTTGCTTCGAGGACCTGCTTCACACCTGGCAAGATTCAAGAGAAAATAGCTGAGAAATGTAATCAATGTGCTGACGGCTAATCAAAAGAAGTGTTGCGCACTGTGGTTACCTGCTCAGAGGGTTTGAGTGTATGTTCCTCTTTCCACCATGCAAATGTTTGTACCTCGGTGGATTCATGCTTGTTTGTGTGGCAGTAATTACAGATGGTGTTTATCAAATATATTCTGTGAGGGAAAAAAAGAAAAAAACTCAGATTGGTTTCTTTCATTTGCAAACAAGACTGACATCTTGGAGAATTTCTATTTGCTCAAGGTGTCATGTCATCTGGCAGAATGGCAGGCTGCAGCTGAACTCAATTACAGCCTCCCTGTGCAGGCAGCCCAAACACTAAGGCAGCATCTGAACAATTTACCTGAGTTTGCATCACTTTTTCATGATGATTTCAAAAGTTTCTGTGCAAATATACAGAAAATCTTCTTCATAAAAGCAAAACATTTCTAGAATGCAGCCTCAAAGAAGGTTAAATTGAAATATGTTGTCTGGTTGGTTTTGTGGCCAGGCCTTGTGCTCCTCTCCTTGGCGTATTTGAATGGCCTTATACCAACTATTCAAACCTTTCTCTGTGATGAATTCTGTCTTGTTGTAACTCCTTTCACAAACCTCCTCTCTGCATTCATACAATTTGAATTGTTGGACCATGGACCGTAAACAAAGCAGGGTCTACCACTGTAACCGGCCTCTTAAAATAGTTGATCTTTTTTTTCATATAGTTTAAAGTAAAGAGAGACAAGAGGACGACATGTAACAAAAGTCCCTGACTTCACAAGAGAGTTTAGGAAGCAGTCTTCAGTAAGTTGACTACATTTAGTTGAGATTTTTATCATCTGTAATGACAGATGTTGTTATTTACTAGTCATCATTTGAAAGGTTGTGACATAGACTTTTAAGACTGACCATAACAGTGGGTGCACTATTGAAGCCCTTCTTTTCCCTCATAGAAGGTCAGCATATCTGCTTCCTGGGTGGTGCTAACGTGTTCTCACCATGTCGGCTCCCGTTTCGTCTTGGTGCTCATGTAGAAAGGGCAGACTGGACACTCTATTGTCAGCAGTGTGAATATGTTGTGTGACAGACAGCAAATTGACCACTTAGGAGGCAACCACAGACTGAAAACAGAAGCACGGTCACATCTGTTTGCTGGAATTTAACAATGGCCGTTTTTAAGGTTATCCTGAGATGCAATTGGAAAAATAGATGAACCTAATTTGGCTCACTTGTTAATATTTTGGGATTGAATGCAGAAAAGTTTCCCAATTCGAACCCTAAATGCATCTCTTTGAGGCAAATAATATCAACGAGTAGTACAATTTCTGTCAGGATCCCTGAACGGTGTCCAAGACGTCAATTCTGTTCACTGCAACACTTTTAGCATTCAATTCAGCACTTGGTGAAAACATATATTATGTCAGCATGCCCGAGTTTATCTTTCACTAAACTGTCTCCCCACCAAATAACATAAATATTCTCAGATAAGAAATGCAACTGACATACAAGCACAGTAGCCTGAATGCAAGAGTTTTATTTCTCATTTTATCAGCATGACTGAAAGAAAAGGTACATATTTACCCAGTTTGTGCCTCACATGTATTAGGTAGCAATTGGTTCCTCTAAAAGATAATTTACCGTCGCCATTCTTACAAGTACTATCTTTCAAAAGCAAAGAAAGGGAAGGCTTCCTTATAAATAAAGGTTACCGCTTCCTCACTTTGAGAACCACCGCAACAGAAAATGTGTATTGCACTAAAAAAAAAACCACATCTGCATCACACGGAGGGAGGAACCGCCTCTAATGGGTTAGCAGCTTCCTGGTGTCTCCAAAGTTGTCTTGTTGTCTTGCATGATGTTGTTTATCTATTGGAAAACTAGATAAAAGGTGGTAGAGAGTGCACTCAAGTTAAAGCACTGAGGTTTTGTTTAAAAGATTAAAATCTCCACCACTGATATAGAAAAGTAAAGAACAGAGTTGAAGAGAATGAAGACCATTTCATTTGATACTGTTACATATATGGTGTATATGTGAATCTTGCAAATATAAGTACTGATGTTATTATTATTATTATTATTCCCCCCTTATGCATTGTATGTATTCTATTTTCATCTTAGTTTCATCTCATTTTAATTTGATTGATTTTTTGGCATTTCCTGTATGGAATGTGCTATACAAATACAGATCATTATTATTGTATTATTATTATTATTATTATATAAATCTTTAGTTACAACAAAATGAAACATGTTTGGATACTTTTTTTTCCAAACGATATTATCTGTTGTTTATTCAACACAATGAAAAACTAATTTTGGAATTATTTTAGAAAGATCTCGCGTTGAAACCTGCCGCTTGTCTTCACAACTGGCATGTTGTAGAAGCAGAAGTCAGGAAATCAGAGGCGGTCACGTGACGCCGGAGGGGGCGGGGCTCTGCGTCTGTGCCGGCCAGTAGCAGCGCAGCGTCGGTCCAGGTCCCAGCAAGCTCCATGGGTGAAAAAAAACCCGACAGAGGAGACGAATAACGGTACACTCCAATATTTATGGAGCCGATCCCCGCGTGCAACCCGTGCATCTGCGTGTCCTCTTGTACGTGAATAGATGTGTTCGGAAACGGACGCGGTGGACGGCATTTTGGGGCTGACGAAAACAAGCGGGCCACCATTGTCTGCGTAGAAATAAGAATGGCCTGGATGTGCAAGGTAAGAGGGGGTTTCTCTCTCATATACATTACAACCAGAAAAGGGGAAAAGGGTGGAAAAATCGCACAATAATCTCCTGGCGTGGTTGGCTTTAGCGTGCGTTTCAGCAGATGTGAAATGTGAGCTGGTTGTGGTGATGCTCCGTGGAGGCAATGAACCCTCCTCTGCTTTCTGTCTGGTCGCCTTTTGGGGTACTCTGAATTTGGGATTTAAGCCCGTGCACATGAAGGAAAGCCAGGCCTGTTTTCATTTATTTTTTTGCTTTTGGTTCACGTTTGAGTGTCATTGCTCTTAAAAGAACAGCAGGCCATGCAGCCATGCTTGTGTTCACAACATGCCTCATGACACGTTCAGGGGTTCACATTATGTGAGGAGTTTACAACATCAGCCACAGCTGCCTTAACAGATGAGGATAAAGTTTACAAAAGTTCCTCAGTGACTCTCACTGTCCACTTTGTTTCATCCTTTTCATTTTTAGTGTAGTTCAGTTAATAGCAATACTTTACAGATGTTGACATAACCCTGAAATATGTCTATTACAGTTTCCCAGAGTTCAAGATGACGTTTTCGAATAGCTAGTTTTATTGAACAAACTGTCCAAAATCACCAAATATCCTGTTTACAGAGAGCATTTTGTCTCTAAAATGTCAAAAAAGAGTGGAAAACAGTTTTCCAGAGTCCAAGGTGACTTCTTCAAATTGTTTTTTGAGGCCGATCAACAGTGCAAAACACAAAGATATTCAGTTTTACTACATTTGACTTTTTTGCTTAAAAAGTGACTTAAATAACTAATTAATTATAAAAATTGTTGCTGTCGATTGACTTGCACAACTTGTTTTGTCCAAAAAATATTCCATTTGCAGCAAATCTTAATATTGGGGTTTCTGGAACCAGAGAATTACTTGAGTTTTTTGCTCAATGACAATGATTTCAGCTCTGGCGGATGTCTGTGTAAGTGTGTGAGTCGGTCTTTCACGGGGACATACAAAAGTATTCAGACCCCTTTAAATTTTTCACTCTTTGTTTCATTGCAG